GACAGAGAAAAATCCCTTGCTGTGTGACAAAGAAAGTAAATGTGTCAGGAATAGGTGACGCTGTGCCTCCTCGGCTTCAGCCCCTCTAGGAAAAGACAGTCACTCACACCACACCCTGTCAGGCTCGTGATGTTCTGGGCCATGGTCACTACCTCATTTAACCCTTGCAACCACCCCATGGCATCATCACTGCTGTCATTGCCCATCTCACAGGCAAAGGAACTGGATTCCAGCAGTTTGCACAAAGGTGCTAAATCAAACCCAGGCAGCCCGGCTCCAAAGTCTTGGTCTTAACATGCCCATTCCACTTTCTGCTTTCCCCGCCCATCCCTTTGCCCAGGTGAATGAGACTTGGCTGGGGCAGTCGGAATCCTCTCTCTAGCTTTGCTTTACTGGGACAGAATTCAGGGGTGACTCCTTCCTTTCCCAGGAATACCCGGGTCACCTTGAAGAGGACACTGAAGTCAACATGGGGAGATGGGGAAGCCCATGGGAGCACTCAGGGCTAGACTCAGGCCATAGACAGAAAAGGAAAAGGACTCCCCAAAACCCTCTAAGAAGGAGGGGCAAAGGGCTGAAGAAAGTTCCTTCTATGAAGCTTCCTGTTGCACTTTTTCCCTCTGCTTCTCTGATATGCCTGGAGAATAAACATGGCACCAGACTAGGAAGCTTAGGCAGGAAGATCATAAGTTCAAGGCCTGCCTGGAGAGAGAGAGAGAGAGAGAGAGAGAGAGAGAGAGAGAGAGAGAGAGAGAGAGAACAATAGTCAATACCTGAACACAGACTGCAACTCCAGAGCTTGCTGTGACAGGAAGGGGTTGAACCTGAGCTACACGGGCAAAGTTGAACAAACAGTGTGGACCTCAAATGGCAGAAAGGGTCCTGATGGATGGACTGACACTGTAGTGACCCTGAGCTGGCTTTCCCAAAAGCAATTCAGGGCCTCCACTTTTAGTCGGGTTTAAAGGGTGGGAAATGGTAAGGGACACAGAGGCAATGGACTCAGAGAGATTTGAGGAGACTGCTTCAGTGAAAGACAATCCTGAGAACTAAGGCACGATGGGTTAGATCTCCTTGTACCTAGGAAAATCCCCCAGGACCAATTCATGCCTACACACACACACACACACACACACACACACACTGGGGAGAGGCTGGGGACAGCCACATGCAGAGGTGCGTGAGGAACCAGCTGACACATTCCTACATTACAGAGCTGTTGGCCTCTCCAGACAATATCCTCACATGAAGAAATGTCCTTGCCACCAAAAATACCAAGAGGTCCCCAGTCACCTCTCCCTTTCCTCTGAAGGTGGGCTAGGTGAAAAGAAGCAGAGGGGTGGGGTTATTTTCTGGAGACATTACCCTGTTGTTGTTACACACGCATGTTCAGGTGCCCAGGGTTCCCCTTCTCTACAAGTTCCTGAGGAGGTTTGCAGGCCACATAGACTCACCAGAAAGGTAAAAGGGAAGAAAAAGGTCAATAAGATTGATTGGAAACTATATTGGATCCTGGCTATAGTGCTAACAGTCCTTTCAACATGGGGTCCACACGGCACTGCTCCCTGGGGATGGAGGCAGGGCCAGAGGATGGGAGGCTTAAGCTGAGATGCAAAGACCCCATGTCAAATGAGAAGGCTTGTAGGGGAAGTCTGGCCTGTCCATTTTTGTATTCTCAAGGCAAAAACAGCTAGGAAGAAGGAAGGAAGTCTTGCCCGGACACTGGGCCAGGTGCCTCCTAAGTGTAGAAGAAGCTCCTGCCCTGATGTCCTGGGGTGACTACCTTGTCCCCAGTCTTCGGTGTACACTAGAGGTGTCCCTGCACTTGGGCAATCCTGATCACCCCTCTGTGGCTGCCTCTGAGTCCTGGGGATGGGGCAGGGCACAGTCCCAGAAGCACAGCATCTCCTGAGAGACAGAGTAGGGAAGTACCTTACAGGATGCCAGGCCATAAGAGAAAAGTATACTAGTAGGAAGACAGAGATGGGGACCCGGATGAGAGGCCTGAGGAGTGAGAGGGTGGGTCTCAGGGATGTGTGGGTGGAGAGCATCCTAGGCCTTTGGATGAAATGTGCTTGGCCTAACCAAGGTACCATGCCTGGTATAGCACAGTACACAAGATGATACCGTCTGAGATTGTGGGAGCATGGGGATGTCTCATAAGCAGAACCATCCCAGGCCTCTGGCTGATCCAAGGACTTGGGTTATAAGTGACACGAATCTTTGAGCAGTAGGGTGGCATTTTTAGACTGGTGGACAGAAAATGGACCATGGGGTCAGACTCAGAGACTAGGGGCCTATAGGAACAGAGGCCTTGCAGCCTCAGCCATGGCTGGTCCAAAAGAACCTTGCTCATTGCTCAGACCACCTTCCAGAAAGTACTAGAATGAAGAAAGAAGCAGCAAGATCAGAGGGTCCACAGACCAGGGGTCCTGCACCGAGCACAGAGGCCAGGCCTTGGATGACAGGCAGACCGGAAGCTGAGGATTCCAGGTGATCATTTGACATCCACTGTACTTCTGGTTCAGTAGACAACACAAAGCTCTGAATCCAAGTGGGTATCACAAGACTCTGGTGGCTGGACCCAGCCCTGAGAAGACATAGCAGGTTCTGATGTGCCCTGCATCCCACTGCCCCTCCCCCAGCAAGGCAGCTCCTGATGTAGGGAGGCAGCCCATCCTCCTGCCCTTCGTGGTCACATAAATCACCCTCCCAATAATATTTGTATTGATCATCTAGATTGGAAGCCTCAGTGCGCTCCATTGTCTCACTTCCTCTCCCAGGGCTCACAGATGGGGTCTCCCAGCCTCATCTGCGTTTCTAATGGGACATTCAAATGGAACAGCGGCAGCCCACAGGCCCCATGCTGCCCTGGGTGTTGGGGGGCAGGGGGAGTTGGAAGATGATGTAAACATGTTTCTTGAGAGAGAGGATGAAGGCCAAGAAGAGCAGCAAGCCAGGCCAGTTCTAGAATGAAAGCAGGCTTCCATCAACACCACCTGGGTGCTGGTCAGAGTGGCAGCAACTCAGACCACACCCCAACCCACGGATCAGCCAGGACATCTTAACTAGACCTCTCCCTCTGAGAGCCATGAGCATGTTAATGGCACTGTACAGATGAGAACCAGGGGCAGAGAAGGCAAAGTGCTAGGTGTAGGTCACAGAGTGGCCCAGTTGAGGCAGAGAATGTCAAAAGGCCAGCAGCCTCTGCAGAGTGTATGGGCCACTTTGGGCTCCTCTCCCTCCCCAGCCTCTGCCTCCCTTCCCAGGGTGTGGACAGATGGCTCAACCAGAATCTGACCCCCTCCCACTTGTACTCTCCAGCCTGGAGGGGCCAGAGTGAGCTCCCGGGACACCCCAGGAGGGCACCTCCTCCCGCCTGGCCAGCCAGCTGCCCCTTCCCTGGCAGCACTGGGCAAAGGATCCCAGGGAAAACTACCACCTGGGTCTGCCCACCACCTGGGTCTGCCATGCATGGCCCAGCATCTGGGGGTGCCTCCCATAAGAGCGACAGGGTCCGAACCCTGCAAGGAGGAAGGCTGTGGTCAGATCAAGGAAGGACAGCCATGAGGAGGGAGGGACAGAGATGGGCCAAAACAAAGAGGGGAAAGGGCAAGAAACAGGAAGGGGAGAAAAGGAGAGGAGGCATAAAGAATAACTGTGCAGGAAGCAGAGGAGGCAGCTGGCCTGGAGGTGCTGGGGCCCAGGACCTAGCCCATGCTGCCTGGCCCGGCCCAGCCCCCAGTGTGCTGCAGCTGCCTCACTCAGGGTCCTACCATGAGGTCAGTCCTGCCCTGGGGCTGTGGGAAAATAAATGGTGTCCAAGATAAAAGGTCCAAGAAATTATTCGTCTTGTTGTCATGTCCTGATGGCAACGGGCAGGGCCGATAGGGCACCATCCCAGAAAGGCAAAGCTGGCAGGCTCTGCACACATGCAGGGCCCTGCCCCCAGCCACTACCTCTAGAACCTGGGCCCCTGGAGGCAGAAGGCTGGGGATGGGTGCATCCCAGAGATGGGCAAGGACCAGGAGGTCTCCTGGGCCCTTCCTGTCTGGCAACTTTAAAGAGGCTGTTCGGGGGTTTTTTGTTTTTGTTTTTCTTTTGTTTTGTTGCCCCTCACCCCCATCCCCACCCCCAAGACAGGGTTTCTCTGTGTAGCTCTCTGGCTGTTCTGGAACTCGCTCTGTAGACCAGGGTGGCCTGGAACTTGGAGATCCACCTGCCTCTGCCTCCCAAGTGTTGGCACATTAAAGGCATGCACCATTGCCTCCTGGGCCGGTCTAGTGATTTTAAATAAAATGTCTGCATGTTTAGTGTTTGCCCAGAATCTATCTTGGCAGAATCCTCTCCAAAGTCCTGAGGTGATAGAGTTTTGTCTGCTCTGTTCACTGCCCAGGGCTTTCATGGGCTGGAGGCTTAGGAGGAGAAAAAAATCAGTGTCGCTCTTCTGACTTCTACAAAGAGGAAGGCTGTAAATGTCCTTCAGCACCACCACCCCCAGGAGAACTGAAATGTTCCAGGACCAAGAGAAGGCCACAGGGTCCATGGCCCAAGTTGTTGTGAATACTCATGTCTTGTAGGAGTACAAGATCAAGCTTAAACACACATGTACGTTTGCATACACACAGACGTACACTTCCATAAGCATTCATGAAGATAACTCCCATGGCCACTAAAGCATCCAGAGAGCCATGACCACAGACTTCCATCCTTCCAAGTAGCTGAACCTGGGTTGGAGGGAGCTGTAGTGCAGAAAACAGCCACAGACAATTGTGCACCCACACACACACACACACAACCACCACGTAAGGAGACACATTTTACGTGAAATCAATGAGCTTCTGAAGGACTCACTAGTGCCTGAGAAACTGAGGCACAGAAGGGCTAGCACTAGGTTCAAGACCAAGCACCCAGCATGATACAGAGCTGGGATTTGAATGGGGTCTCTCCAAGGCTGAGGCGAGTGTGTGCAAGGGGTATGGGTAGGGTCTGGCACATACCATACTTGTCCCCGTCCTCGCCACGGGCACTGATCCTACGGCCCAAGACTTGAATGTGCTTTCCACTGGTCCTGCTGTAGAGCTGGTACAAGCGCAGCTGCTTCCGACTCACATCATCGCGAGCCCGCGTCTGGTTCTCCACATGGATACGGAAGTCCACGTTCTCCTCGGCTGCCAACACCTATGCAAGGGAAGGAAAAAATGGTTAGCCAGCCATGTCTCTTCTCTACACCACCTCTCTGGCCAGGCCCCATTTCACAGACAAGACAACTGAGGCAGCTGGGAAACAATAAAGCTGAGGATCAGGCCTGGGTATATAGATCTTCCCACAGGCTGGCACATGGTGCCTTCTGTGTCCTTGGCATGCAGGTTACTCTGTCTCAGATCCCCTTTTTTAGTACAGAGGCCCCTGTCCCAATGGCATCTGGGACTGTGAGGAGTGCCTGAGCAGCTAGGAAGAGAACTAACGTCCACAGGGCTTTGGGGAGAAGTCGGAGAGACACATGGCAGGGAAGAGATAGGATGAGCAATCTCAAGTACTGGACACTGGGCCAGAGGCCAGCATGCCTCCTCCCCTGGATCTCCACAGGGACCCCTCCCACTCACTCCGTGGTACAGGCCCCTACTTGTAGGATCTTCTGATTTATATCCCCCATGGTAATTCTGTGGCCCTCTTGCCATTTAGTTGTCATGTGCCACAGCCTCCAGGAAGCCTTCTTAGGTTGCACCCACACTCACTGCTCCCATCCCTCTTTAAGAACACAGCCCTCCCTCACCTGAACAGTATACACCATCTCCTCCTCAGCCTAGACCAGATTTGCCCTAATAACCCATCCTCCACCTACCAAAGCCCTCCCATAGAATCCTCCCTGCCCACACTCCTCAGGGCTTCCTCACACTCAGAGGCCCTTACTGGGGCTTCAGGACCCAGCTGGCAGCCCTTGATGCTTCGCCTCCTCTTCTCCTCCAGTTACTGCCATGCCAACCATAGCACCTTAGCTTTAAAGTCTTTGGGACCTTTCTCATACTTAGAACACACTGGCCTCAGGCCCTTTGCACATACTCTCATTTCCGCTCTCAGGCTTTCTCAGTTCTCTGCACTCATTTCTCTCAGGTCTCTGCCCAGATGTCACCTCAAACAGGCCTCTGTGGATTGCCCTAACCCTGCCATTCTCCATGCCTCCACTCTGCTATGAGATTCTTTCTAGCACACGTGACTCAACATACCATTGACTTACTCACCTTTTGTCATCTTCTCTGACTACCCTGGTGGCACTATAAAAGCCAAAATTCTCTCTCTCTTCTGTGCTACTGGCCCTGCAGCCCCAGGTCAGATACCCAAGCACTTGTTTAACAAATAAGTAAGTGAATGAATGGATGAACAGGTAAAGTCCTGTTATGCCATTAAGAATTAAGTTATATTCACCTGTACCTGCTAGTTAGATGCATGGCCCATCCAATCTTATAAATGAGAACAAGTCCTGAAGCATGGGTTAGAACTATGACAATTTGTCCTGCCTGCAAGATGTGCTTCAGGTTAGAACTATGGGTTGGTTCTGTGGACCACCCCACTCTAGACTGGCACACGGCTAGCACACAAAAACCCATTTCCAGAAAAGCATTGCTCACCCAATCATTGCTAGAGTCCTCTGGACCCTGGCAACCCAAGCATAAAGTCAGCCTTGCCTATGAGACTCTCTCAACTCCGTTTCTTCACGATGAAATGATGAAGACAGTACCCACCTTGGGGGGTTGCTATGAAGACCGAATGCAAAAGGCAACACGGCAGTTACTTCCACATCTGAGCAAACACCAGAACTTTTGACTAGACTCCAAGTCTAAGCAGAAATGGAGGTTCACAAATGTCCATTCTGTAACCACTGTGTACCTCCCTCCATTTCCACCAACCATGACAGCCAATCCACAGTACCAGGCACTGCCTCTCCTCCCACCCTGACGCCCAGGGAGGCCCACACCTGGAGGGCATTTTTTGGGAAGACCCCACACTCGGGGCCATTGACCTTTCTGGAATGATTCCTGGAGTTGGCTTAGTCATGTCCCCTCCCCCGAAAGTAGGCACAATGTCCCTGCCCTCCAACGCCCCTCCTTTCACAGAAGACCCTATCGACTAGAGGTCAGCTAGTCTCCTCACCCCCGGCTCCCAAGGGCTGCTTTCCTACCCCAGAAGCAGCCCTTCTATTAATGATTTTCTTCCTGGCCTGCTGGACAGAAGCAGCAGAGTGACCCAGGGTCAGTAGGGTCTATTGGGCGGCCCTGCACGAGGATGTGGGGGCACAATCCATCTTGCCTAGCTTCCACTACTTAAGCATACCCTGACCAGTCAATCCCTAGGGAAGTATCGGCCAGCCTCTGTCGGAAATTGGGCCCCCTCTCCTGGAAAGGTTAGATACCCTAGAGTTCTATCAAAACCTCTGGTGGGCTCAGGGCACCAGCCCCTTCCACCTGCCATTAGAAGCTCACTTTAGAGATCCCTCAACACTACCTCACAGGGCAGGTTCTGGACACGCTATTGTCCCAGAGTTTGGATAGCAAGACTCATCCCCAGGTACCAGCTTTTCCCCAGGAAGCAATCAGCAGTGCTTGCCAAATGACTTGCCAAGAATAAAGAACACCTGGAGGCCAGCAGGAAGCCCTGCCCTTCCCATCCAGATGAGTAAAGTGTCCAGCAGAGGAAGGTTAAGGGATGCCACGCTATGGGGGCTCACATTGCTTTGCTCCAGGCATCGTGCTAAGAAGCCCCTGGATTACCAGAGAGCTAGGGAGAACCCATCTGCCAAGTTGGACCTTGAGGCCACCTCTCAAGAACCATAGGGTTTCGTATGGGTACACAAAATTCTGGGCTCTGCTGCCAGAGCCATACAATGCAATCTTGCCTTGGGAGGCTCACTGCCTTGCTCTGTAGCTGAGTGAGCTGCAGCTCTCTTGGCTATGGTGCCTAAGGGTCTGCCTGGCTGACACTCCTCCAGGGACACAATGACCAGAGGAGTTGAAAAACTTCTGGATGAGCAAAAAGCCACGACACACACAGAAAGCAGGAATACCTAATACATGTGGGCCCATCTCCCTCAGTGCCACACTCACAGGTGGCCCCTAGTCAAAGCGGGCCCTCCATAGGTGGCCTCCCATGGGTGACTGATATTGTCATTGCAGCCTAACACTCCAAGTACGCCCAATCTGGCCCTTCCACTTTCCTAAACATTTGCTCCCCAGTCCAGACTCTACACATGAGCAACAAGGGCCCTACAGGCTCAGACCTCATTCCGACTGATCCTGGGCAGTCCCAAAGCCTCTGCCTAGGAATGCCAACAGGGTGCTCAGTAGACAGAGCCCACACACCTCAGCTTGCATGCTGTCTTCATCTAGAGTGCTCTCAGTTCAGGGAAGGGTGCTCCCTCCTTCAGAAACCTTCCAGGCCCCAACTTCCCAAGCACAATAGCCAGCCCCTGTCTGTGCTGCAAGCCTACTGCCCTCATCCTGGTGATATCTGCCCTCATCCTGGTGATAATCTGATCAATACGAAATAAAGTTCTGCCAGCTTCCAGAGGCCAACCAAGGTGTCCTGTCCCACAGGGACACCTGCCACACCATGCACCTGTGCTTCCTTGAAGGCCCCTGACACTGAGAAGCATGTTTGGGAGCATCCTCATTCGTCTCAGACCATATCACTACCATCTCCCAAAGACCTCCATCAAGATCCAGGTCACCCACAGGAAAATCTGACACCAGGATAATAAGTAGTACCATTCCACCTGGAGGTTACCTGCTCCAACCATAATAGCTGACTCACTTGAACTTTTTACCCTTGTCTGAAAAATGGGAATTATGTATAACATTTACCTTGGAAGAAAATTACATTGGTAACTATAACAGCAGCCATTACAGTATTTTTTAAGTCTTGCTTTCTAAACAGCCATGGGATTTTTGATCTTTGTGTGTGCGCTTGTATATGTGTGCATATTTGGAGGGGGTGGCATATGCTGAAGTGCATGTGTGAAAGTCAGAGGACATGTCAGTCCTTGTCTCTTACCTTGTTTGAGACAGGATCTCTACTGGCTACACTAGGCCATCTGGCCCATGAACTTCGGAGGTCCTCCTGATGTCACCTTCTATCTTGCCTTAGGAGAGCTGAGATTATAGGCATGAACTGCCATGCCCAACTTTTTGTGCATTCTGGAGATTCGAACTCAGGTCCTCACATTCACACAGAAAGCACTTTACTCACTGAGCCACTCTCCAGCTCAGCCGCCATGTTTTTTAAAGACCCGCTGTGGGTGGCTTTATCCTACACAATGACCAGAGTGATGTCATAAGCCAGAATGGTTATCATCTCCATGTTAAAGTTAGGGATAGTGAGGAGCAGGGGAGGTCACATCATTGGTCCTAAGTCACAGAATTCGTGAGGAGAGGACTCAAGATTCAGTTTCCCCTGCATCTAGAGTTCAAAGCAGCCACTTCATCACACCTACTATCATTTCCCCTTGTTCTCACCACCTCCTTCCCATCAATGTCCCTTCACCCTTGGTTTCAACTACACCTGGTCAACTAAGAACCAAAAATATTAAATGGAAAATTCCAGACACGAACAATTATTCTAAGTTCAGTGTTGTTATGAGTAGTATGATAAAATTCCACACCATTCTCTGTCCATCGTATCCATGCTGCATCTGCTATGTAGATGTGAGGAATTTGTAGCCATCTAGGCTCTCAGGTTTACTGACTCAGCATCTCAGTGCTTGTTCATGGGATAGTCATCTCTAGAAGATCTGAACATGTACAGCTGCACTCTGGGACAAGAGCCGGATCAGAACCTATGGCATAGCTTGAGAGGTGGGGGACAGGGATACCATCCAGGGAGGAGCTAGAAACTTGAATTCCCCTGTGCAAGAGGGAAATGCAGTCCCACTGATCTGTCCCAGCCACTCAGATTCTTTTTGTTTGTTTGTTTTGTTATTTTTTTTTCAAGATGGGTTTCTCTATGTAGCCCTGACTGTCCTGGAACTCACTCTGTAGAGCAGGCTGGCCTCAAATTCACAAAGATCCACCTGCCTCTGCCTCCCGAGGGCTGGGATTAAAGGCATGTGCCACCATCCTCAGATTCTTGAGACCGAATGCCATCTGTGTTCATCTCCAGGCATCCTGCCCAGGAGGGAAGGGTCTCCC